GTGTTGCTGGTTTGCGAACAAGAAGACGACAGAGGGGGCTGGCGGCTTCAATGGTGAAGAAGAAGAAAGGGAAGGTCTAGGGCCTATTTCTTTTCTCTTATGTTTTTAAATTAAAACCAGTTACCCAAAAAAATTTTTACAAAATACAAATAAAAATAAACCCATGGGTTAAAAGAATTATTGGGTTAGGAAAAATTATAGGGTCTAAATTTCCAACAACCCTAATTATAAATGTTTCCAACAAAAAAATAATAAGAATAATAATAAAAAATAAAACAACCAAGTCCAACAGCCTAGGACAAAAGCGGAAAACAACACCTCATTAATTATAATTATAAACTCACAACCCATGCTAGCCCTATAACAAAACAACGTAGAACAATTAAAATAAATTAAAATAATTTTCGATTAAACCTCAAGATTTGAGATTAAACTAACCTGAGTAACGAGGGGCGTTACACCAGTCGGTAGTGGACACTACAGCATCAGTGCACGTTGCTTCAGACAGACTTTGGTTCTCATCTTTTACTGCAGGTGATTATGGCTGGGTGAGGATGGTGAATGAGAGTATCTCCAAGGTAAAAGGAATTGGAGATATTTGTTTGAAGGCAGGCGAAGGGGTCGAGTTGGTGCTACGAGGCGTAAGGTATATTTCCTAGCTTCAGATTTAATTTGTTATCCGCAGCAAAACTATATGATGATGACTACAACAGTGAGTTTGTTAGGGGTTGCTGGAAACTCAAGAGAGAATCCAGGGTGGTGGTGACAAGCCATAAGAGATCTTCTGTTTCTGTGTCTGAGTTTGAGGTTGCTAGGGGATCTAAGAGATAGAGGATGTATAGAGTAGCTGCAAATGGTTCAGGGCGAGACTTGATAGAATTAGCAACATTGCAACAAAGGCAGATCAAATGAGTCTGCCATAAGTTCAAGTACAATAGTTGGGAAGTAGAGGAAAGGGTAAGGGGAACAACTCAGTAAGATGTTCAACAGGTTGTCGATTTCAAATCCCAGTTGTTAGACGGAATAGCGAGCTGATGAAGTTGTATAGGCGAGAGAGTGCATCAAGGGAGAAGACTACAGTTGGTACAAAAGTCAAGAGTGACGTCTCTAGAAAGGCAACGGACATGAGTAGGAGTGCCAAATCATCAGGGGAATCATCCTTCAGAGGTCGTTGGGTTTGATCGAGAAAGGAAGTGATGGGGACCACTTAGATCAAGTGAGAGTAGTGGCAATGTCTTCAGCATCTGGGAGGCAAGACCACGTAGCATTACGCAGTCCTGGGGCAATCACAGACAGAGCTTGGGTAGGGCCAAGTAGTGTGGATCAGTTGGTTGATAAAGCAGTCAGAACTGTGCCTTGACAGAGGGTGTCAGGATGATGGGACAATATTGAATTGTCGCTTTGTCTCCAAGTGTTAAATTGTTAGGATTGGTTGTCGGGATTAAAGCGGGGATGAAAACAGGGGAAGCGGTCTCTGTAGGCTGGGAGAACTAAAGCTGCAGCGTCGTGGTTCTATAGAGGGCGTCGTGGCGCTATCAAGGGGGCGCGCGGGCGTGAATCTGCTTCGTCCATAGTGTCATGGCACTATTTCGAGTATATAAATACTGCAGTTCGGGTTTTAGGGTTTTACCAATCGAAAGAGGGGTTCTAGCAGCCGATTTTGAGTGGGTTTTGGCAGCTAATCTGTGGCAGCGACTCGGGCATTGGCAGAGACATTGAGATTGATCAAGATCGACATTATCGGGGTAATTGTATCTTGATTCTTACGAGTTTTCATTCTTGTTCCTAAGTATTCGTTGTGTTAAAATACTTAGAAGCTATGAGGCTCTTGTTGGGATCTCTAGGGGATATTTTTTGGGAGAGTTTTGTATTCCAATCCTTTAAAAAAGCTTCTAAGATTCCTTGTTGGCAACAAGCTAGGAAGGAAGAGTTTAGTGCTCTTGTCCAACAGAATACATCGGTACTCACTGATTTGCCTTCTGGAAAAAATATTGTGGGCTATAAATGAGTATATCGTATTAAAAGAAATCCTGACGGAAGTGTTGCATGTTACAAGGCTAGACTTGTAGCCAAAGGATACCATCAAGAATAAGGTATTGATTATGATGAAACCTTAAGTCTGGTGATCAAAAATCCTACGGTGCGTCTTATTTTATCATTGGCCGCTCAGTTTGGATGGCAATTACGTCAATTAGACGTTAAGAACGCCTTCCTTCATGGTGAATTACAAGAAGAAGTTTATATGCAGCAGCCTCAAGGCTTTATTGATCCCCATCAACCTTATTCTGTTTGTAAATTGGTTAAGTCCCTCTATAGACTTAAACAGGCACCACGAGCCTGGTTTGACTGCTTTGCTTCTCATCTGCTCACTCTCGGCTTTCAGGCTTCTTTAGCAGATTCTTCATTATTTGTTCGACGCACTTCTGATTCTCTTACTTATCTTCTACTATATGTGGATGATATCACCCTCACCGAGACTCATGCTTCTTACATTGACTGTTTGATTTCTCAACTCAAATTGAGGTTTGATATGACTGACTTGGGTCCTTTACGCTTCTTTCTTGGTCTCGAAATTGCTTACTCAAGTCATGGTATATCGGTTCATCAGTCTAAATACACCAAAGATGTCTTAACTCGTTTTGGCATGCTTAGTGCCAAGCCATGTTCCACACCAATTGCCTTAAGCAGTGCTCATACGAGTTCTCTTTGTTCTGATGCGGATGCCAAGAATTATCGGTCTTTAGTTGGGGCACTGCATTACTTAACCTTTAGCAGACCAAACATAGCATTTGCTGTTAGCAAGCTCTCTCAGCACTTGCATTCACCCACTGATGAGCATTTAGTAGCTGCCAAACGAGTCCTTCGCTATTTGCGTGGGTCTGTTGGTTTGGGCTTGATTTTTCAAAAAGGCTGCTGTCTTGATCACTCTCTTCGCCTCACTGCCTATTCCGATTCAGACTGGGCTGGTGATTCCAATGACCGTAGATCTACTATAGGCTTTGTGATTTTTCTAGGCTCTAGTCCTATCTCTTGAGTATCTCGAAGTTCTACTGAAGCGGAATACAAGGCACTTGTTTTTACTGCTGCTGAACTTTCTTGGATTCGTCAAATTCTTAAAGACCTTCATGTGTTAAGCTCTTCTCCTCCTCTGTTATGGTGTGATAACATTTCAGCCATTCAACTTGCACATAATCCGGTCTTCCATGGGTGAACAAAGCATTTAGAAATTGATTTTCATTTTGTATGTGAACGGGTGGTTCGCAAAGACATGGAACTTCGTTATATCTCCACTTCCCAACAGCTAGCTTACCTTTTTACTAAGGCTCGTACGACTGATCGACTATTTTTTTCGTTCTAAACTCATGTATCAGAGTACATTTGTTTGAGGGGGGATAATAACTAATCTGTAATTAGTTAGTAATATTGTTACCTTCAGTTGTATCTAGCTGTAACTTCCTTTCAGTTATTTATTTTAGGCCTTTAAATAAGCTTGTAAATTCTTCTTTCATTAATGAGGAGAACTCTCTTATTTTCTTGAGAGATTATTACAGAGATGTTGGGGCAATGCTCTCAGCTCAAGCCTTGGTGGTTCTTTGGTTGACGGTTTCAACTGCTTAAAGGCTCTTCCTTCCAAATCTAGAAATTCAAACACTCTCTTTAATGCTCGTTCTTTCTGATTTCATATCCTAGATTTATTACTTTTTCGCTTCTATCGTTGATCTTGTTTATGCAAAAAATATGACGGGGTATGACCTGGTCAAGGTCGGCCACAAGGAGAGCTCGACCTACTCCAGGTATGACCTTCGGGAGAACATGACCTGCTTTTCAGGTATGACCGCAAGAAGAGCTTGGGTTTCCTTGGAAAGGGATGACCAGCTCAAAGGGTCAAGGTCGGCTGACTGGGATGAGCTTGTGTCAGGAATGAGCTGAAAGGCCACTTGGCTAGGAAAGACCTGCACAAGGGAACAAACACTCGACGCTCAAGTCAGTTTTGGGTCCGACCTTAGTATGGAGGTCGAGCTAGAATACGATACCTGACTGAAGAGTGAAGTGCCCTATATATAGGTTGAGGTACCCGACAAGGAATCCGACCAGCGGTTGAGCATGTTGGGACCAAGGTCGGCCTGTCAGGAGTAGCTATTCCAGTTCATACTCTTGTCATCTGGAATTTGGCTAAGTATGGAAGGTTGTTCCTCCCATGAATGATCTTCAGGGAAGACCTTCAGATCGGCCTTTACGGAAGGCCTTAGGTCGGCCATTAGGCAAGGCCTTCAAGTCGGCCCTCGGGGGAGCTCTTCAGGTCGGCCCTCAGTGGAGCTCTTCAGGTCGACCCTTAGTGGAGCTCTTTAGGTCGACCCTCAGTGGAGCTCTTTAGATCGGCCACTTCAGGTCGGCCACCAAAAGGAAGATCTTCAGGTCGGCCTCTTTAGGTAGGCCACCAAAGGGAAGACCTCCAAAGTTGGACATTTTTTCTGTCCTCCACGTGGCAGTGCGATTTTCAACCCCCAAACAGATCTCATCATGATCTGTTGAATTTTTCTCCTCGATAGACTTTGGCAACATCTCATTTCTCAACTCATCATTAAGCATGTCATAAAAAAATCGGATGACAGAGCACTCCTTAAGGTAAGCTAGGCATTTCATATAGTCAAACATTGATAAAGTGACCTCTTGATCTTTAATCGCATGCTAAATTCGCCCTTATGCACGTCTACTAATGCTTTATCGGTAGCCAACAAATATCTTCCTAAAATAGAGTTTCTTAAGCATGTCCAAGAATTTTCTTAATTGCGCATTTTTTTTTTGTCAGCGTTGGGGATAAGGAGGTGTTAGTTTTTTTCCCGTGTCCTGACTAGACATACCCCTCTCTTTTGAATTCTCTTCCATTTATGCTCCAACATTACTCGTTTCTTTACTATCAGCAGGCAAGTCTTGTGGTGCCTTTTTCTTCTTTTGCTATGCCTCCGCATTCCCCTTGCTCAAATTTGCTTCTTTAGTGCTTGGATGGGTGGGGTAATGCCTTACCACTCGAAGCGTGAGGGCCTTACACTGTTCCTTCCCATCTCTCCTTAGGTGCTCTCTATCACAAGAAAGTGACCCTTGCGGTTTATTTTTCAATTATGCTGCTATTTGTCCTATTTAGACCTCCAAATTCCTCAAAGATGCGAATTGGCTTTGAATTAAAGTTTTATGATTTTTGAATTGTTGCATCGTTCTTCGCCATATCCTCTCTTATTAAGGTTCTTCATTGAGTTTGATGCACTTTGATATCACTTGGTTTCAAGAGTTATAAGTAGGTTTTAATTGTGTATTTGAAGGAATACTTAGTTCACTTTGTTCATAACATGCACGTTTTAGAGCATCTATTATTCTAATATGCACATATTACAGCATATATATATTGTTGATATTCATTTAGGACACCTTACTTTTGCATGATTATGAATTTGAGTATTTTTATAAGGAAAAAACAAAACAAAACCCTTAAGTTTTTGTTGAAAGCAAAAGAATAGCGGTGGGCACATAGTTCGTAGCAAAATTTTTCCAAGGAAAAAAAAAGCACCTGGTGCATAGTGGAAGTTCGTAAGACACACAGTTTTGAACATTGGACAACGAGGTCATTTCGAATGCCTGGACTTGTTACAGTTGAGGGTTATTGAGTTGGTTTTAGTATGAATTTAAAGTCTGAAGATATGTGCAATAAAACTCCCTTGAAGTTAGACCTAATTGCCTTGATTCTCTCCAGCCACCCAACCACTTGTAAATACCCAAGCAATTAATGAAGAAGGCATCCAATTTTCATTCAGTTTTTATCCAGTTTTATGCAGCGTTTGTACACTAGTTCAGCTCTCCTTTAATTTTCAGCTTCCTTTCATTCTCAATTTTATTGTTGCACTTATCTTTCAAGTCTTTATTTTCTTTTGTACTTATGTTTCCTTCTAATTCTAGTTCAATCTTGTTCTTTTAGCGAGTTTTTACTCCCATCAAGTTCAAAAGAGAAGAAGGTTGAGCTAGGAGAACTTAGATTTATACCTTGGATCAAATTTGTTTTGGTTTATACAAGATATATTAAAATATAAGACTAGGAATTTGAATAAGATTCAAATTATCATTCATGGTTTATATAAATAAGAGGCTTGGCTAAGCCTAGTTTGATCAATTGAGATGTTTTTTTAAAAGAAATAATCTCTAACTTTGTCCTTCCCTTTTGAAGATCGAAAAATAAATAAATAAAGTTTTTCTAATACTTTTAATGAGGTTTTCACCCACCTTGGTCATGCGATTGAGTCATACCAAGAAAAGAGATCCAGGTCACTCAAGAAAAGAGATCCACGTGGATGTGAATACAAGAAGATTGAGAGTCTTCGAAAGTATATATTATTGCTATTATATCTTTTGTTTACTTCTATATAAAATTCAATGCCGATCCTCGTATGATTGGTCGTCTTTCCTATCCAGTTCTACACTACCAAGTACCGATATTAACAATAACATCCAAGGGTGGAATCAGCAGCATAATAACAAAACAGCATCCCTCTGGTGCTTTGCCAATTTCCCATCCTTAAAAACAGCTTTGTTACATTATTTTGACCAAAGTTAATGACAGCAGTCCTCTGCTCTCATTCCCCTTTTAAGTAGCCCTTAGTCTCATGAAAAAACAGCATCTCTTTCCTGTCATTACCATAATATAACACCAACCCCTTATTGTCATTCTTTGAAATTTTGCCCATCATTCCTTCAATCATCTTCTAAATGGATCTCTTTTGTTCGACATGAAAGAATGTCATCTCACTACCATCTTTCTTGGTTTGGAGGCCCCAACTGATAAACTCTAAGTCGTGAAGCTCGACCAGAACGTCCTTTATTTAATAGATCAAAGTTTTACTGAGACACAAATCGTCCGCGTAACTAATTTTGACAATCCTATATCAGACCAGAGCCATGAACCTACTTATAGATTTCTATAAATAGTCAATCAGTACTCTCGTATGCAAGTACGAGATTTGGTTCCTCGTTTTGAGAGCTTTAGATCAGATTGTTACTAATTTGCACGTTCAAGTATTTGTCATTTTTGTGCATGTCTTTCTCACTTAGATTCCTCTACTTAGACCGACGCACTTCTCTCAATGTTGTTCCTGACGTTTTTTACTTCGTTCCTCGTTTTGTACATGTCTTGTAGTAAGAGGTCAGAATTGGGTATAAATACATTAACTTACTTTCCATAATTATTCTCTCTAATTCTTATCTTTAGTTTATTTTTCCTTAATGATGTTGATTCTTTGTGCCTATTTTCTCGTGAGAATTGAATTTTTTTTTCCTTTCCCACGATATAATAGAATTCATTTTGTAACTCACCAAAGTTGATTGTCAACTTGCAGCTTTATGAAATTTGAAACTTCGACTTCAAAAATATGAATATATGCCAATTACTACTTAATAATGCATAATGGTAGTGTTAGCGAGTGTTCTAATTATTCATATACATGCATGATATATCATGTATCTGCAGATTGTTTCATATACCTAATTAAAAATAAAATCTATTAGTTTTATTTAAAAGATAAATACTCAAAATGTGTAAAACAACACTAATAATTGCGTTTGCCAATCCTGTGATTTCAAAGACACTCAAAACCTTCAGCAAATAGAGCAACGAAAGTTTCCATTTCATTTCTCTCCCTAACCACTCCAATCTCCATTCCCCCATCACTATTTCCACTATCAGTGAACAGAAAAACTGATGTCGACTCAGGCGACACCATTTCCACCTTTCTTGGCTTTCCCCACCCAAAATTTGCACTATAAACTTCAAATCTAGGTGACCCAGCAATTGAAATAATGCCTGTTTCTTGAGAATAATCACTACTAATCATTGCAGCCATTGATGAGCACAAATTCTCTGCCCCCTTTAATCCTCTTTCTCCCAAATTTCTAATTTCTTCTGAGATTGCCTCGCTAGCCACAACTATTCCATTTTCACCCAAAAGCTCACTTCTTTCCATGGAAACAAAAGCAGCAACCAAACAATTACCGAAGTAATTTGAAGGCACCGGCGGCTTCAATCGAGACCTTGCATCAGCACCAAATGAGAACAAAAACTTTCCATCTCTTAAGCCTTCAGATTTGGCGGTGCATACGCAAAGGTAAGCAGTTGCCAAAGCAAATGAAGATACGTGCTCATCATTCTCCTTATTGTTCTCTCGCTTCTTCAAAACCCATTGTTTTAGCTTTTGCAGGTTTTTGGGGGTGAATTCAAGAGTGCATCGGATTAAACCAGGTGGGGTTTTGGGTAGTTTAAGGTTCAAGCTCCTGTTGTTGGGTCCTTCTGAGTTCAGCCATACGTTTGCGTAAATCTCGGACAGACCTGCCGCGTCGTCGATAACTGACCTGTCGTACAACGGCGTCACCTCCATTGTCGATCCTCCGACGGTGTCGAGATTATGGCAAATACGAGCCCATGACTTGACAAACGAAGTCGAGGTTTTTCCATCCATAATTGCATGGTGGTTGGTTATTCCAATGGAAAACCCTCCATTTGGAAATGAAGTCACCTGTGTTAAGTTTATAAAATGAAGTGGTTAACTGTTTAGATTAGTATTTCAATCGTCTGTTTACATTCCATTTGAGTTATGTGCATTTAAAAAGTGATGTCTTGGCTTTATCATTTTCTTTTTCTATCTGATTTTTTTGACCACGATATGCACTCAATACATTATTTCCAGTAATACAATCATAACTTTGGATTAAAGAGTTCTATATAGAATTTGTGTTAAAATTTTGTAAACATGGATCAAAATAGTCATTTTTTAAGTCAACCTAACCTACACTCAACTGATTATTTATTTATTTTTTAACAGTAGCTCAAGCTTAATTGATTAAGGCATCCATCTTCAACTAAAAAGTCGTAATTCTCACCTCTACAAATTGTTGTATTAAAAAAAGAAAATAGTCGCCTTTTAAAAAGTAGGGATGAAAACACCATCAGGACTAAAATGTATTAAAAAATAGTATATAAATCATGATAAATATATGAAACCTATAGCTTAAATTTAGCAGTGATTAGCAATAATAACTAATTGTAGCTTTTGAACAGTCACCTGAAGAGCAACCACTGCAGCACGATCCTGGAACACAGACAACTGCGGGACAAGAGAATGATATTCAGTAACATCATGAAAGCCATTGCCGGAGAGATGGTAAAAGTCCGCATTGGACTCGGCCACCGTCAGAAAAACGCCATCACCTTCGACAAACTCAAGGGTGGGGGCAGGGGAGTTTTGAGGCCAAACGAGGTTGCCAGCAAGAGGAAGATAGTTGCGAAGAATAAGAGAGAGAGAGGTTTTAAGCTTTGGAACAATGGCGTCAAGAAAGGAAATATCAGTGGACGATAATTCGTAGAAGAAAAGACGTTGGGTCGGATGGAACCGCAGCCATAGAAGGTCGAAGAAGGTAAGTGGAAGAGACGAGGGCGCAGGTGAATCCTCCACCGGAGGAGCCACTCTACAGACCTCCAGTATCTTCACTGATCTAAGATCATCATCCATGGAAACTCTTCTAAAACTTTTTTTTTTCTTTGCACATAGGAATGTCTTCTAACACATTTGGATGGAGACAATTTAAAACATTTGTGGCTGCCATAAAAGGCAAGTGGTTTGGATTGTCTAATGATATCCAAAAGTAATTAATATGTTTGCTGGCTGCCATAAGAAAGTTCTACTCATAGGGTATATGTTAAGGTAAAGTATTTTTTAAATTACAATAATTAAAATTTTCTATTTAACGATGATGTGTTTAGATTCTATTACTATTTAGGGTGAAGAATTAGAAGTTTGGATCTATGACAGAGGAAAAAGGCCAATGTAGTTGTTCGTGACTCTTGTATATAGATGTCACTGGAAAATAACGTCAAGACCCAACAAGTGGAAATCAATATAAAATAGGGAGGAAACAACTTTGCACGGGCTGAAACACAGGACCCAACTGCTCTGACACTATATGAAGGATGAACAAACCACAACTCAATCCAAAAGCTTAAATGAGTAGGTTGGGGTAAATTTAATTCATATATTAGATATCTAATAAGTAAAGACTAGAGTTAATAGATAACTCAATAGTCGTTTTAACATATTCATGTTTATCATTCAAACAAATTCTAATATGATTATTTTTTATTACATATAGTCATAAGAATGTTTCGCGTTAGAAATCAATTAAAAGATTGAAGTTTCAATTGGTTGGGTAAAATTACTCAAGTAGTTCAACTGATACTTTATACCCTAATTTTATGATCACATATAATTTTTATTGCATGCATATGTGTTGAAACATGCAGTGTACTCGATAATCGAAAGTACATAGTGTGAGTATAACCGATTGGGGAGCTTCATAATTATCGATGTGGTACAAATTTTATATCTTAATACTTATGTTAATACTTTTTAATATTTTTAATATTTTATTATATATCATATTTGCATTTATTATTATTATTATTATTATTAATTTGCAGTGAGACGCGCGCCATATAGCCAAGCAGAGATTGACTAGATCCGAGTTGAATGGTGTAATTTCATTGTACAATTCATTTCATGCATATTTTTTAAAAAACTTTTGCATACGGACATGTTCGTTAGACTTCTGCTATATTTGAGCATGTTTAAAAATATAATGTGTTAAAGATACTTTTTTATGCAGTTTTTATTTATGAATTAACGGGGATCTATATAAATTCAGTGTGAATTTGTAGTTTTTCATGATCATGATTGAAGATGCTATAAACTTTAATTATAATTGAAAATTTTGTTACAAAATGAAAATATAGTTGAAGTTATTTTACTAGTTTTAGGTAAACGTGTAGTTGGAGATTTCTGGTTAATTTTGTGCAAATATGTGTTGGTATTATGGAGCCAAAACAGGAAACCTATATCCTATTAAGAAAAGGATTTTTCAACACTATTACCAATTCCTACTGGGAGTAGGATATTGTTGACTTATAAGGATTACAATATTGTTTTTCTATAAGAATTAGGATATTTGGTCTCTTATAAATAGAGCTTTTATGTTAAGGTTTCATTTGTACAGAATCCAAATAGAAGGGACTTGAGTGGTTGTGGGCAGTGTTGAAAAGAATTTTGTATCCAGTAGGTTTAGTGAGTGTTTTTCATTCGTGTACCTAAGTATAGTGTGTTATAATACTTAGAAGCTAGAGGGCTTTTGTTGTGACCTCTAGGGGATATTTTTGGGGAGAGTTTTGTATTCTAATCCTTAAACAATTATTAGTGAATTACTCACATCTGAGTGGAAGACTGGACGTAGCCCTTAGTGGTGAACCAGTATAATTTGCTGTGTCGTTATTCTTGTGCTTTTACAGTTTTCTTCCTATTTTCATATATTTTGGTTGTGTTTGGATA